AGTTAGATGAAACGAAGTGCAAAGAGTTACGCATATCTTTCGCGAAGTTTAAGCCCGATTTTGCCCCTATTCGCATTAATGACAAAGACATTGAAGTAGTTACATCGGTAAAGCTATTAGGTCTTAACATCTCAAATGATATCTTAAGTGGAATACGCACATTTCTGAGATCGTACGAAAAGTGTCAACTAGACTGTACTTTCATATTCCCTGGTGCTGTAGAGAGTGTTGTGGAGTTATGGTGCACTCAAATGTGTGTATGGCTTTGTGTATACAGTAGTGCGAGTAGATACAGGTTTATACAATCATTGTGTAATGTGCTTCACTGTTGTTTTATATCCACGGCGAACATTTATTGTATGGTTCTCATTAGTAACAACCGGTGTCTCATATTACATCACAAAGCTTTTTGCGCGGATTATATTTCGCACATTACTAAAATTCGCGCAACCCAGCGCTGCGCGAATTCTAGTACTGCCCAAATTTTTATATAAGTAAGGTATATGAAATTGTAGCAACAAGTCATGTTATGCAAGTTTTTAATGATTTATATCCAGGTTTATTAGCATAGCATGACCAGTTGCCGTGGCTATATAGCTTGCCACTGAATACTGTACAATGACATATTGCTATATATATCAACAATGATATCATAATACGTGAATAAATCATTGGACATGTAGAGTTTAGTTTAATACAGGGGCGTAGCCAAGGGGGTAGTTGTGAGTAAAATGATAAATTTACAGTTACAAGTTTGAAAAGTAGCTTTTCACACATATTTATAATTGTCTAGATTCTTTGACTAGGAAGACAGTGCCCCAAAATGGCCCGAGCGAGAAACGCTGATTGATCCCATCATACGTGTGCAAATTTGATCCGAATTTTAGTGGTGTGTTGCCAGTTGTTGCCGGCATCTGCGAATACGTGTTTCCATTTTGAACTCTACTAAACACCGGAGGTTCGCTCTGTGTGTTCCAGTTTTCTCCTGGAACTGTCTTGGGAAAACACGTAGAGATGTCAAGTACAAAACCAACAAGCATGTTGCAAAAGAAACTACTCACCACTTGCAGAGAGCCGCTGAAATTGTATCACCTAAAATTGAAAGATACAGCAACCGTTACTTGAAATATGCAAAGACTGTTACTTAAGGCTGGTGGGTTTACACTATCAAAGTTTCTGTAATCACAGTAGGAATTTTGCATGGGTAAATTCTAAGTTTTGAAGGATTTGTAGGAAATGTTTGAGGAACTACTGACTCAGTGTTTAACATTAAGTCAGTTTCCTCAAACATTTCTTACAAATCCTTCAAAACTTAGAATTTACCTATGCAAAATTCCTACTGTGATTACAGAAACTTTGATAGTGTAAACCAGTCTTTGCGATAAAAAACATCCCGCGATCTATAACGAAGGACGAAGACGTATCACGTATATTTCAAGACAGATGCGTACGCCAAGAAAGAGTTTGAAGTGCTGGCTAGCGAGAATGAACAACGCAGGATACGTATTTGAAGACCACTATGTTGATAATCTACCGTTGGAATTAGATGTGAACAAAAAACTTTCGGAAAGACATTTAAACTTGAGCCCAGGAATGAAACGAGGATGAGAGTGTATGAGAGTTGACAGTCACGTGATCTTGGTTAGCTGTTCTTAATGCTTTTCCAACACTATCATGTATTGTATTGACTGAGTTAAAACATAGTTGGAACATTCATCAAACCTTTATTTTGTTAATCTAGAGCTTGAAATGTAACGACCCTGTAACAATGCGTGACAGCCAACTCTCATCAAGATATTTAAAATGAAATATTGACAAAAATCCTCGTCCTAATATGATTCATGATCTATAGAAAAACTATCGCTATAACGACTTACTAGAAAAAGAGCTAAAACTGTTTCACAACTCTCTCGTAACATTCTAGCATCAGAGTGGCGTCTTTAATCTGCACACAACTCGACAAGACATCTTGTTTGAAACTATCAAGTTTGGGCCCTAGTTTTTGTTTTGATTTCCAGATAAAATAGACCCCGCACAGACGCAATGAATATAAAACATTGAAAAATATTTTTATCTCTACATATGTACGTATTTCTAATTAGGCATTATCGTATGATATAGGGATATTTGCAATATTCTTATCAATATATGAAGAGACAAGCTTCGTTTTAACAACACCTGATTTAGTTATTCCAAGAATGGAATGCTCTTTTTTATTATGAACAAAAATATGTTTAAAAATTACATAGCACTGATACGCAGATGGAAAGCTTTGCAATAATGGATATATACATGGGATGATTTCCACAATCTAGTTTTCATAGTACTGCTTTAAGGGGCGGACCATTAGAAAAGTGATGGGGGGGGGGAGCGAAAAATAAAAATCAAGCAGGGGAAACAGAAAGGGAAAAAATTCGTGCACCAAAAAAGTTTGAAAAAAAAATTCGTGCAGAGACTTTTCAATAGGGAAAATTATAAGGAGAAATAAGAAAAAATTGTGCAAGGGATTATATTTAAAAAAATTATCAACACAAGCAAAAAAAATTTTTAAAAATAGTCGTACAAGTTAAAAGAGTCCTCCCCCCCCCCACACTTTTCTAATGGTCCACCCCTAACTGCATGGTACAGGAGAAATGACATTCCAGGGTCCTCTTTTAAAGATTGTGGGGATTGTCAGGGTCCACCCCTGGTCCCCACGAATCAGTGGCAAAACTAGACAAGGTAACTGGTCATGCTATGCTAATAAACAGGCATCTAAATGGGTTAAAGACAATACATTTCTAAAGAGTATTAAGGTTTAATAAAGCAAATCATTATAAATTTGCATAGCATGATCCGTTGCAATGGCCAGCTTCGCTATACTGCTACAAATGTGTGTATTTCGAAACAAACAGGTGCATTATGAAAAAAATAGATATGATTGTGAACACAAGACAAGACAAGATAAGCAGATAACATTTAATTATGTTTTGTCTCGAGGCTATGTTGTCTTTTTATTGGTTTAATTAGGTTTGCCAATGGTAAATAATAAAATTAGTGGCCCTCTGCCTCTGGTAGAAATCATATAGTGTAGAAGTAGATTCATAACTGAAAGTTGCTGGTTTTATCCAAGCATCGGGATGAGGAATATTTTCCTTCCAAAATATTTAATATTCCTAAAAATCCATTTCCACTGAAGAAAAATTTCCACGGATAGAAACGTTTCTGAAAATATCATTATTAAACTAATCGAAAATTTTCAACTTGAAAATTTTTTTGGAAAATTTTTTTCAACTTGAAAATTTTTTCCGATGTCGGCAATTACAATCATATTTTACAAAATTTTCGTTCTGTGAAAAATTTTCTTGAGTGTAAATGGGTCTTAACTTTAGCATTTAGCAAAATAAATATCAAGATTGAATAAATAACATTAATAAATAATTATTACTGAGCATCAGCAGATGCTCCCAAGTCTGCCTCCTCCGCAGGCCCTCGTTGCGTCATGGGAAGGTCACGATCTGGCGAGGGCCTGCGGAATCTTGTAAAAAAAATGGCGCCGGCGTCACGTCAGCAAGTAAATTTCTACATAATCTTGAATATAAACAGGATATAAAAAAGCGGCGTGAAACTTGTAAATTAAACCATACTAGCGACTCTTAGGACGTGGAAGGAAGCATTTTTTAACGATAAGGTTTGTTGTCCACACCAACGTTGCACGAATAAAACTGCCTTCTTTAACGAAGCAGCTTCGAAACAACATTTATTCATCTTACAAGATTCCGCAGGCCCTCTCGAAATCGCGACCTTCCCATGACGCAACGAGGGCCTGCGGAGGAGGCAGCTCCCAAGTGACAAAAAGACCCTGGGTATGAATTTGATAGAGTCAGGTATGCAGGCCTGAATATTTAGAATATTTACTGCTGGCATATAGCCTGCTATTGCAACACCCAATACTTAGTATTATTATACATAAGTGGTGGAAGAAACGTTTTAGGGGGCAAAGGTTCTTTGACAGAGAGTAAGTGGATACAGTTTGGTTGGTTCTCCCTTGTGCTCTGAGGGTTTTCTTTGGGTCGTGCAATTTTCATACCTCACTATATAAACTATAATCCTTAGACCTTTACAATTAAGTATTATGAGCCTCTGGTTTTGGTGGATTAGGCAAGCCATACCCTGTGAAAATGACATTTAATAAATCACTACCATCACCAGTGATACTTAATGACATACCAACACTTTCTCAAACTGGACCTACCATTCATTTACTTATTCTTGTCCGAGTTGTCTCATTCAAAAGTGACCATCACTCCCTCCATTGTCATAATTTACTTGATTAAATCTAACAAAACAAAAAATTTTATTATAATGAATTATGCATTAAAAACTAATTTAAAAATAGTTTAAGGCCCTGTCACACTATTGCGTATGAAAGAAACGTATGAGAAGCGTATGAAACTTGATGAAATAATTTTCATACGCACAAAACTGATCCTTTGAAATGCCAGCGTACATCTGGCGTACCTCTAGCGTATTCAGCGTGTGCCTAGAGTATGCTTTAAACGTCGAATCGACGTTATGAGTGGGTGGGTGGGTTTATCTCAATTCTCTCGACGTTATCTCGATAATCTCGTGGCAAAATTACAATTTTGTGAAGGTTTTGAACAATGTGACTGCCACGCTCGACGTTATTTAGGGTAGGTGGGTGGGTTTGAGTGTTAACGTCGATTCGACGTTATGCGTGGTAACATGAATATGGACGTGACCCCTTAATCGATGAAATCGATAATCGATGAGTACCGAGATCAATCAATACCAATCGATATTTATCAATCGATTGATATTGGAATTCGATGAATAATCGATAGCTTATTTTGCTGTGATTTCATCAATTGATCATCAATTTATTATTAATTCTCATTAATGAAAAAATCCTCCGTTAATATGCATGCAATCAAACAGGTAACGCTGTAATTTAATTAATACATACTTTAATGTTGTAACAAACTCAAATGTGAACGGAATTCAGTAACAATGGATTAAATTATATTTTCATCTAGCTATAATACAGATCAAATACATGTGTACATTCGAAAAATTAGAACAGATTTACTATTTAGCTCGAGAACATGCTGACACACGGCGATTATTTAGGATATAAATCGATAGAAAGCATTTTGTAGATAAAAATCGATGAATATCAATAATAATCGATAAAATTGGCTATGACTTTTTGTGACTATTGATTGGTCATCGATTGACCAATGTCAATCGATATCAATTAAGTAATTAACATCGATTGATCGATTGGATTTCCGATCGGATTATCGATTAAGTACGCCAGGAATATTGAGGTTTTGAGTTGGTTTTAAAAACAAAATTTTAAATGTTTTCGTACAGTATACAACCGGAGTAGTAGAATTTGAAATTTACTATTCCGTTTCAAGATCCTCGGGTCCACTACAAATCAAAACTTTTTTTTGTGTTTTAATGGTGTAATGTTCATCTTTTGTCAGTTGTTGGGGCATGGTGCCACTAACACAAAAATATAGTTTTCAAAGTTGCCGTTGCTATGGTTACCGAGATTAATTACCCCCTATGGTGAAAAATGGACACATTTGTAAACATGATATCTGAAGAAGTATGCAAGATAAAAACCTGAAATAACTTTTTTTTAATAGTTTAGAACATGGTCTAGGGAATGAACTACACTTACATTGATGGAGCCAATAATACATTTTTTACAGCCAAAATATTGAAAATGCAGGACATCGGTATGACCTTGACTATCATATTTTTTGTACTATTGCAGATATTGCTATGATTGTAGTTCATTCCCAAGAGTATAAAATACAGAAGCTACAGTGAAAATTTGAAGTTAATAGCTCAAATACTTTTTAAGATATTGTGCATGCAATATCAGTCATTGGCCATTTTCGGATATTTGAGAAAAACAGCTTTAAAGTTTAACATACACATTTTAAGAGTGATAATCATCAAGGATTGATGAAGAAAGTCAGGAGTGGCCAAGATCAAAGTTAAAAGGCTCCTGCCTCATATGTATTCCCCTCTGCTTCCTTGTTTTTGTCTTCTTTGTTCTTTTTATGCCCTCGAAGGACCTTTCTCTTCTTCTTGACTTCAGGCGTAGCTCGATAATCCGCTTTCTTGATGCGCTTTTTGTCTGCTTGGCAAATACCCTCTTCAAAGTGGAAGCCTGGATTTAATCCCTCTTCTTGCAGAATGTTAATAGCAGCCCTTGAACCCATGTTAAAATGAGCCACTGCATCATATACACCCAATTCCAGAACAGTTGCACCCACAAAAGTACTCTTTGGAAGCCTGTTCCAAATCATACCGTTGAAGGACTCGTTCTGGTTTTGGGTTTTGCCATCTAAACATTTGCTCAACAAAGCATCGTTGCTCAGTCTACAATAAATAGGTTTGACAAGACTAATGATGTTATCTGGCAGACCAGGTCCAGGCTTGTACAAATTAGTGTTATTAGCCTTGTCTTGTTTATAACGGCACCAGCCATCTGGACCATCAGGACAGTAATTGTGGAGATTACGCTTCTCTGAAGACACACAATGAAAAAGGCTAGCATAAATTGCCGACTTCATCCCATTCAAATCTCCACAATTACTCCTGATGGCAATTCCATAATAGTTCTGTAGTTTATCAATTAGGCTGTCAGTTAGTTTTCCTTTTCCCCCGATACCTTTGTTCTCTTTTTTTAGCTTCCGAAGAGCTGTTCCGACACGCTTTTGGACGTGACCAACACATTCCTTCTTTTCAACCTGAACATTATCATATACATGCTCAATCTCTGAATATGCTTTGCTGTCCCCATCACCAAAATACTCTGTATACTGTAGTTGCCGGGTGGTTTCACTTCGGCCAAAAATCCTTTTGATGCCCACAGTCTCCATAGCTGGTGAGGATCCTTTGTAATTTATCTTACATGAATGCTTTTCTACCATATCAGCTTTCTTAGAAGCATCCTTCTGTCTGGCAATTCTTTGGCACCCATGACAAACTTTGGTCAAGACTTCTACATCCAAGCACTTTCCAGTGTCAATAGATAATGTGGTGACGCAGCCATGAAGAGACGAATATCCTCGTCGCTGCCAGGTTCCATCACACGAGACACCACAGCGGGTTAACGAGCCTGGATTTTCACCTCGAACCTCAACAGCTGCATCATTCATGGCCCTCATGGCAACAGACTTGGCTGCTTTTGATAGAGCAGTGTTACATTTTCTGTATGCTTCGAAGTGCATCGGTGGTGGCATGTTCATGTAGGTACAGAACCTTTTCATGGATGCATGTCCTTTACCAATAGATCTCATAGCATACACAAATCTTTTATTTACCTCAAAGGATTTATTTATCTTCTTTGATGAATAAAACGTGAAAACCCAACCACATTCCTTGCATCGCAAGCGGAGATGAGATGCAGTACCCTTACGCTCAAATGATTTGTCTTCGAACACGAAGGACGATGACTCACCACATTCTTTACAAGCCACTTGCTGAAAAACTTCAGTAAGGATTTCCATGTCAATGAAACGATATCCCGTTATATCTGGCATTTCTTTAGTGGCATTAATAGGCGATTCTCTGACGCCAATTTTACGCGAGGAAGCTGAGACAGTTGCATTGGAAGTTGATTGACCACCAGCATTATCTTCGTTTACACAACTTTCGTTCGTCTCGTTGGTACGACGTTTCTTCACAATTTTATCGAATCTATTTCCATGGAATTTACGTTTTTTTGCCCTTGACTTCTCTCTTACCATTATAACAATAAAACGATTTAAGATTATTAAAAAATAACAAAAATATCGTTGTAAAATCACGAAGGAGATTGGGAAAATTTCAATCGTTGCAGTTTTAGAAATAGAAAGGCCTGCAATGACAGAGGAACGATGCCAGCGGCAAGGATCGGCTCTCCAAAGCTTGTTCTTCATGTTAGAAAAATAAAAATGTTCATTTTGTAAATTTACAAGCAATTTTGCCTCGATTTCAAACAACAAACTTTCGTTGCTAAGGCCGTTGCTATGTTTGAAATTTTCACTGTTCTTTATATTTTATATTTTTTCTCCAACTTACCGTGAAGTTTTTCCTAAAAAAAGCTTTAGAGGTGTTTCATAAGGCTTCAAAGGACTTAATTCTAAGTTTTTTGAAAATTTATAAATTTCATCCATCTACCGAAAATTTTTGTAGTGGACCACCTTAGTACTGTTTGTGAGAGCTTGCTCATGCAGGGTTTGTGCTAATGTTTTGATTTTCATGAAATCATTCTTGAGACAGAATAACAAAAATAAACAGTAAAAATACAGAGTGAAATAAAAAAGTAGGGCTCATTTGGGTGCATTGCAGTTTAATGTGTTAACAAGATACATTGCCAAATTGTTTGGTTAACCTATTGATGCACAAGACTTTCCTCTTGATGAGTAAAATGATCAGACAGAGTAAAAAAAGTATGGCACATTTGAGTTCCTTTGGCTTTGCAGCTTAATGAGTTAATTGCTGCCGATCGTTAGCTCGGCAGCACACTATTCTTGACATTGACTTGTGCCCAGTCTCTTTGGCTGAGTTATGTATTGTCGACATGAATCGAGATTTGTTCAAAATTTGGATGTCCGTCGGCAAACTGGGGGGGGGGGACAGGGGGTGACACATCAGGGAAACGCAAATGCTAATGACGGTGTCTTTGCAATCTTGAAAGATATATTCAATATGTCAGGAAGTGATCATAATTTTAAATTAAAGCTATTACAAATGCAGTTTATATGTTATGCTACAACTTTACTGATAAATATTCATGGAGTATTCATCAACGTACGGTTTTGAGACTACGTCTACGGTTTAGACTTTAGTTCCTGTTAAATATTAAATAACATTTTATATGCCGGCTGAGTCAAACAACCTGCCCAGTTTGCCTTTGATTGTGTCAGTCAGTGTTCGAACAAATGCATTAAAAGTGATTATATGTGTAAGTTTAGTTTACATATTCAGTGTTTTAAAATTTTATATTGATGTATCATAACATGAATCCGCGGTTTATTAAAGACGTTGCGAATATTGAGGGAAACAGGGTTCATATCACTGCAGTGCTATGCCTATGAAGACTACCATGTCTATGGCTATCCACTTTTAATATGGTTACCTACTAC